TTGGTTCAGGTTCCGCAGAAAAACCTAACTCCTGGGAGGTGGTGTTTAATGATGGAATTAATGAAGCATCAGTTACGTTTAGACTTTTACTTATACTCTTTGTTCTCTTTCTGTTTCTACTGATTGGTGTTTTACAAATCCTGGTGAGTTTCTCAATTTTCTTTTCTTGTTCTGCAATTATCTTTTGTAGTGAAAAATTTTCTGAAAGTAAGTTATCTATTTCAGCCTCAGTAGACCCTAGTTTATTTTGTAATAGTTCAATTTTCCCATTCAATTCTGTTTATCACGACTATCGTTCGCTCTTCCAACTGGGCAACTCATATTTAATCGACATGTACTTGTATTTACTGTGTCGTCTGCGTCGTCTAGCACTTCATCAGCAGATAATGACTGAAAAGAATTTTCTGTACTGACGTTTATTAAATAATAGGGGTTAAAGTATGAAATTGCCGATTTGTACTGAAAATCTAAATTGTTTATTTTTTAAATTTTTAACAAATTTATTTAATCAAAATAGTTGCCATTATTATCTATACATTGCTGCCATCTAATGGGAAGGTTATTAATGCCTTTGCGATAGAACTCCGACGATCTAGACTGCACAAACTGTGTGAAAGCATTTTGTACTGCCTCCTGGGAAGAAAACTTCTTGTCACGTAGATAATTGTCCAAATCACGAAAAAAATGGTAGTCCGTTGGAGCAAGGTCTGGTGAATACGGAGGATGACGAATGGTTTCTAACTGCAGTTCCTGAAGGGTCAAAATGGTTTCTCGTGCTGTGTGAGGTCTCGCGTTGTCGTGGAGCAATAATGGTGAAGATCGATTCATGAGTCGGCGCTGTTTTACTGATAGTTTTGTAAACATGGTTCGGAGTTCGGCACAATAGACATCTGCCGTTATTGCTTGACCAGATCGGAGAAAACTATAGTGAATAACACCATGCTGAGACCACCAAACAGTTACCATTACCTTTTTATTGGTAAGTTTTGCGTTAGGACACTGTTGTGGCATTTGACCTGGGGTCAGCCATTGCATTTTTCTTTTCCGGTTATCATAAAGAATCCACTTTTCATCACATGTTACAATTCGATCCAATATTCCTTCATTTCTGTACCGGTTCAACAAGGCAACACAAGTTTCAACACGCGTTTCTTTCTGCAGATCAGTCAAATCATGAGGCACCCATTTTTCGTATTTTTTTATTTTATGGATTTGACGCAAGTGAGTCAATATTGTGGGTAAGGTAACGTTAAACCATGCCGCTAATTCCTGGGTAGTTTGACTAGGATCGGCTTCCACTATCTCTCTTAATTCATCGTTATTCACCTGTGTGGGCGGTCTTCCTCGTGGCTCGTTCTTTAAGTCGAAATTTCCATCACGAAAGCGTTTAAACCAAAATCGCACGGTGCGTTCATTAGTAGACCCCTCTCCAAACGCAGCATTGATATTGCGGGCTGTTTCTGCCGCGTTAGTTCCGCGTCGGAACTCGTATTCAAAAATCACTCGAATTTTCGCAGTATCCATCTTTCTTGTCTAAATTGAATAACAAAAACAATTGAAAGTCGATATTCAAATGTTTCAAATTAAAAAAAAAAAAATCACAGAAACCATTTGAAAAAAGTTTCATTCGAAAACCTCAAACCATGAAGATTCTATGAAAATTCAAAGAACCTATTGCAATAAAACGGCAATTTCATACTTTAACCCCTAATACTTTTTTCTCATGGTTACTTTGTTATTTGTTGTAGGCGTGTAGACTCTGTTTTAATGTTTGTGTATTAAAAAGCTTCTATTCGGTGCAAGAGTTTTTATCAATTTGATATAGTATACTTAAAAATTAACGAAAAGAAAAATAATAAAAATTTGAGTTGTTATTAATTATTAATAATTTGAGTTAATTGAGTAGGCATTTTATATTTGTCATGTTTTGTTTTTGTTTTTGAAGAATTAATGAATAAATTAATGTTTACTATATTGCGATTGTATACTATGTGGCGATACCCAACCAGCATAGGTGTGGATACTGGAAAATTTAAATGTACATCATATTTACCACATGTTCGTAATAAACATCTTATCTTAACTAATTATAAAAAAAAAATTAAGTTGACTAATGTTAAATATAATTCTAGAATATTTTGACCTGAACTAGTTTTTAGGTTGTAATTTATTATTATATGACATACTTAATACATATTTAATATGATCTTTTGACGATTGCAAAAATGTATATTTTTAATTCATTTAAATTCTCATAAATTGTAAGTAAATTCTAACACAAATTATATTCTAATTTTAGATTTGACCTTGCTGCGCCCGTACAGGGTTCATGTTGATCTATACCAATAACTTAATACCTATAAATGTAACAAAGTGAATGCAATAAATGTTTTGACTTTGACTTTGACTTCCCAACTTCCGTTTGTCACCTTAGGTCTCCTGGTGACATGCTTCCCGTTATGTAACATTTCTCCATCTAACTATCCAAAAATAGGCTACACACCGTTAGGTTGTAGGACTTGTAGGGCTTAACTTGATAGATCGTAGGGACGACCTTTCAGGTCTCACCGTTAGGTTTTGATAGGCTAGTTAGTATCTTGAACTTACCGTAATTTCATGCACAGCAGGCGGTTGGTATTTACTCGTCTGGGGGGCGGGTCGGAGGACAACTGACCTGCCCCTCCGTTGGCGCGGGAGCCCTGGCGCAAGTTAGGGCGGCCGGGCGACATCGTGGTGAATGTGCACCGACCCCACGGCGCCGACTCAACCGGAGGGAGGTAAACCCGGGGGGGTTTTAGTGGGGTAGGCCCTCCAGTCTGGAGGGAGAGTCGCCACATAATCCCTGAGTCTCCCTGGGCTCAGGGGTTAAAGATAAAGATCCCCCCGTAAAAAAAAAAATAAAAAAAGGCGATTGGTATTTGCTGCATACAACATTACACATTACAGTGATAGACGAGCACTACCACCACGTAATACCTAACCGCTTGCTGTTCATCGCCAATATTTAAGGTCAATATAAAAGGTCCGGAAAGCAAAGACTTGCGCCGGAGGAATTTACTCGACTGCAGTTAAGTTGGTGCTGTACACAGCCGTACTTCGCTCATTTAAGGCCGTTTGCTGATTTGTCGGTACGGTAGGGGCACGGCATCGGTATGCTCGGTACCGAAACGATACCACAACGCCTTCATCTAAGCACGTGTCGGTATATTCTGCACAACCGCTAGTGTGACATCACGAGACAATGTCGTCCTCGATTGATATTATTATGGCCTGCTATTTCTATATCAATTTACAGAAAAAAACGTCACTGGAACACTCTCTTAGTCTATAATTGTACAATACTGGATACTTTTCAATTTCCAGTACCAAATTAATGTGATGTCTCTGTCCGCCATCTTGTTTACTGCTTATCGCGCGACCGTGTGTCGTAAATGTCGAGCGGCGTCTGGACGAGCATACCGAGACGCGGTAAACCGAAAGGATCCCTTCCTGCTCCTATCCAAACCGCGCCAATCAGGAAGCGCATATTGAAATATAGGCGCTTGGTAAGCTTTCAATACAGCGTATACCGAGCGTAGCGATACCGCACTGTTACCACACCGACAAGTCAGGAAACGGCCTAAACTAATATTGTAGAAGAAAGTGAATGTAGGTTATACCACTTTTGTGCTGATAGTCTCAATTATACTACGTAATATTTAAATGAGGCATTTTCATTTCAGAAGTTGGCACCTAAAAATACTTGCAATCCCGCACCGAAGAGACTACAGTTACCAGCGAAGCTTCATCATCGTCATAAGGTAATTTGACGTACAAGTTAAACATTGATTATGCCTGTCAACACGACTAACGTAGTCTCCGAAAGTGCAACTGATGATGCAGGTGTGCAGTCAACCAGTTCCAAAAAAACGTTGAATATCATAGGCACAGGACCAAAACACAAAGTCGGCGGTATAAAGAGAGGCGCTTGCGGAATTTTTTATCAAATTGAGCTAGCGATGCTTTTCATAATTCGCGGGCTGAAACAAGTCTCTGCGTTTCAAATAGCTATTGAGGTCGCAGAAGCCGACGGTTTTGACGATTTAGTGTTCTTGTACGAAAACCATGAAGCCGGATTTTTTCAAGCGAAATATAAATCTAAAAAGGGATGGAAAATAAAAAAAGAGCAGTTGTTCAAGAATGGGTCTGATTTTGATGTTAAAAAATATTTTGATTCCTATAATAAAATAATGATTCATGATAAACTGAAAACGCTTATAAACGACAGAGACATGATATTTATACTGATCACGAACGTTGATATCCACAAATATGATTTTGGAAAAACAGAAAGTTATGAAAATAAAAAAAGTTTTGAACCCATAACAGCTTCATCAAAACTATCAAAGAGCAAGATATTAGCCTTGGGTACAGATGAAGAACGGAAAAATTATTATATGATTAAAAAAGGATCAGATTTATATTTTGAGCTGAGGGTCCATTTGTTAGATAAATTGGAACCACCGCCGCAAGTGGCCGAGGCTCTTGCAATGGCAGTTGCAAATAACTATGAAAAAAGTATCAAGGTCGACGAATCTTTTACAACACACCGTGACTGGTTACTGGCTAATGTTTTAAAAGTGGGTAAAGAAGGCAATAATTCACAAACTGGATATTTTGTGACATTTAGAAATAGCTTTTTAACCGGTTTAGAACGAGACAAGTTAAATTTTGGGAAGACTTTCTCAAATACTTATTTGGAGCAAACAAGAAAAGACAATCCGACGAGCACACAGCAAGATTTGTTAAATGTCGAATTTAAGGTACCTAGAAGTTTTGCGGAGTCTGGAGAAGATGAAGCGACAAAATTTCTGGATTGTTTTGTATTTGCAGTGAAACAAACAAATGACAAAAAGCTTAAAAGTGTAATCGAAAGAGAAGTCAATGATTATATATGTGGTAAGAACCGACAATCAATATCTTACAAATTTCAATCATACATACAAGATTGGGCAATGCAGCCAGAAGGTCGATACCTGAAAAAAGAGGATGTAGAGCAACAAATCGCCGTATGGGGATACGAAAATTTAAACCACACCAAAATGGAAGACGTCAAAAAGTATAAGTGTGGTTTTGATAAAAACAATCAGGTAATCGAGAAACTATCTAAGTTTTTAAATACTGAAAACGAGGTTGGTACGATGCAACCTACAACGTACAACGTGCTCTACCTCTATTGTAGAGAAACGCTGTTTAGCAAAATCAAAGTATGTCAAGCCATTGAAACTTTTCATGAGAAGCATGTTGATCAACAATATATATTTTGTGATATTAGAGATCTGATTGAAAATGAAAATACGAAAAAGTGCCCTGTAAAGGCATTCAGTTCACAAACATGTAACACTCTGTTTGTATCACTTCA